TACCACTCTGATGGCAGAAAGTGAGGAAGAATTAAAGAACCTCTTACTGAGGGTGAAAGAGGAGAGCACAAAAATGGTCTGAAGCTCAACATAAAAAAACACAAGATTATAGCCTCCTAGCAAATAGAAGGGGAAGATATCGAGGCAGTGACAGAGTTTCTTGGGCTCCATGATCACTGCAAATGGTGACAGCAGCCACAAAATTAAAAGACTCCTGCTTCTTGGGAGGAAAGCGATGACAAACCTAGACACCATCTTAAAAAGCAGAGACATCACCTTGCCAACGAAAGTTCGCATAGTCAAATCTATGGTTTTTGCAGTAGCGATGTATGGAAGTGAGAGCTGGACCATAAAGAAGGCTGACCGCCAAAGAATTGAAGCTTTTGAATTGTGGTGCTGAGCTGCGGCTCCAATACTTTGGCCGTCTCATGAGAAGAGAAATCTCCCTGGAAAAGCCCTTGATGTTGGGAAAGTGTGAAGGCAAAAGGAGAAGGGGATGACAGAGGACGAGATGGTTGGTCAGTGTCATCAAAGCGACCAACATGAATTTGGCCCAGCTCCGGGAGGCAGTAGAAGACAGGAGAGCCTGGCGCGCTGTGGTCCATGGGGTCACAAAGAGTTGAACACGACTTAACGACTAAACAACAACAAGAAGAAAATAATCCCATCCGCTGGGAAAAGGCTGCTAAAAGACCATACAATGATTTTACCATCCTTGCCTGCAGATGAGGCAACTAGAAGCTTCTCCAGGGTGGCAAGTTCAACCACTGTATTTCTGACCCACTTGTGACATTCTATAGACAGAGGGGACCAGAAAGGACTATCCCAGGTTCATGTTAGGGAAGATGATGACCCACAGGATTCCCAGAGTTCTCATTTCCTCAACGTATCCCAAAATAACACCAGCCTTGGAGTTGCCATAATCAATCCCCATCTGTTGATTTTGGAGAGGTTTCTTGAAGTGAAATAATGCTAACAAAAAAGCCAAATGAAACTGCCCACACACCCTTTAACCTCTATGAGCCAACAGGGCTCTTAACACAGATAGCCCACAACAGCTGTCACTTCTCTTTCCCAGTAATTTAGGATACCTCTATTAAGAGTTTTTTTCCCAGGGGCAACCATAGGCAAATATCAAAGGTTACACCACACCTCATTCTAGGGCTAAGATGTCCCCACCCCCACATTTAAGCACCTTGTGCATTGGAGAGGTAATGGCAACAGCTGTACGACTAAGAAAATCTAAACAGTGACACTCTGCCACAAGACACTGGAAGAATGGTACAACTGTTGAACAAACTGGATACACAAAGCCCCATTTCTACTATGCTATACCGATTACACTGGTTATTAATGAATAACCTAAGTCTAAAAATTGCAGCGTAGTAGGCAGTAAAGTTAAAGCAAAACTGAACATTAAAACAAAACTGAACATTAAAACAAAACTGAACATTAAAATAATGTACAACAGTTAAATTTTATGTAAATTGTTGGGATGGCTGCAGTAGCCTGGGACAGCTTGCACTGTGTGCTACTTGCACACACACATCTCCAGTTCGTGAGGAGAGTGACTGATCTCTAAAACAGCAAAATCAGACAGTTTCCAGGCATCATAATTCACAGGCAACACACGACAAAGCAAAAAGCAATGTTTTAGGAAAAGGCAACAGAGATGAAATCAAGGAAACCTCTGGACTGATTTTCCCCTCTATTCAGGCCTCATCCAGTTCTGGACACTGTACTTCAAGAATGCTGACAAACTTGAACAAGTTCAGAAAAGGCCAACAAGGATGATTGGGGGCTGGAAACCAGACCTTATGAGGAAAGACTGAAAGAATTGGACATGTTTAGCCTTGGGAAAAGTAGACAGAGGGGTGGTACGATAACACTATTCAAATACTGTACTCGAAAGGCTGTCATACAGAAGTTAGCCTTGGGAAAAGTAGACAGAGGGGTGATATTATAACACTATTCAAATACAGTACTTGAAAGGCTGTCATACACAGGAGGGGCAGGATCTGTTCTTGATCATCCCAGAGTGCAGGACACACAACAATGGGGTCAAGCTACAGGAAGCCAGATTTCGCTTGAATATCAGGAAAAAATGTCCCAACGGTTAGAGCAATACAAAAGTGGAACCTATTACTTCGAGAGGCGGTGGAGGCATTCAAGAGGAATTCAGACAACCACCTGGCTGATGTCCTTTGATCGGTATTCCTGCACTGAGCAGGGGGGTTGGGCTCGATGCCCTCAGGGACCCCTTCCCACTCCATGATTCTCCCTGGGAGCCTAGGACACCCCGAGGGTCCCTTTTCCCGCCAGAGGAGATCCATCGCGCGCCGGAAGAGGAGCATCTCCCTAGGGGGGAAACCCTATAGAACTCTGAAGGACGTAAGTTTAGAGCAAACCTCTTCGAAGACGGCGCTGGTGCTGAGATCGGACCGGGAACAAAGGTCGGGGGACTCGGTCCTCGACCGAGAGCGACCCGCCCTCCTTGCGCAGCCTACCTGCAGCCCCGCCTGGAGACGCTGGACCACCAGATCCCAATTTCCCGCGCGAAAAGCGTCACAAGCTCCGCCTCCCCGTGACGTCTTCCCTTGCGTTCTGATTCCGCTCCTCGGCCCGACGCCTTCCGCCGGCTTCTGCGGTTGTCATGGTAACGCCCCCCCCCCGCCTCCTTCTTCCATTTCTCGGATTGGAAGGGAAATACGTACTTTACTGTAGTGAATGGGTGAGAGAGCGCGGGGCATAATGGATAACGTAACCAAGAGGGACCGGAAGTAGAAGGGTCCCCGGCGTCGGAGAGCGCCACCGTTTGTGGTGGAGGCGGAGCTAATTTTTCGCGCTGCCACGCGACCCCAGGGCCGGGAAGATCTTCTGAAGCCTTCTTCAAGTTTGAGCGCAGTCACAGGCATTAGCGATAGATAGCTTGTCATCTGAGCTGAGGATAGAGGCTGGCGTTGTTTTTGTTTTTCGGGTTTAATGGAATCAAACTTGGAAAGGAAACTGGAATTTAAAGCCTGAAGACCAAACGAAGAACTAATCTACAGAATCCAAAAGATGAGAGAGGCTGGTCATGGACCATTCAGACGGTCGCATAAATTAGTCTCGTAGCCTCTGCTTCTGGCTTGAGTCCAGGGATCATTCACTTTTAGCCTTACAGTTCTTGTAAAATTAAATCAAATTCAGCAGTCGCTGGCTGTGGGTAGCCAGTCGGGTGTAACGGACAGAGTGACAAACTAGGGTTCAGAATAGGGGACCCGAGTTCGAATCCCTGCTCAGCCATAGAAACTCACTGGGGATGGGTGGAACTGGTAAAACCACTCCTTAGATACCTCACTTCCCTTGGAAACCTTCTTAGGGTGGTTATAAGTTGGTTTCAGTTTGAGGGACCATCACACTTCGCTGGCTGTGGAGTGGTGAGCCAGGAGTTTGAATGTGTCCTCTGCCTCCCAGGAAAAGGGGCCAGCCCAAACACCCAGAGCAGGTGTGGGGACCTGTTCAGCCTCGGGAAAGCTGTGTGCCACCAGATGAAAAGACCCATCAACGTCTTCTGATTGTCTTATTAGAAAATTCTGGAAGGGTCCCAATAAGTCAGAACTGAGTTAATGACACAGAATTATTAATATTTATGTGAGCTATATTTTAAAATATTAACCTTATTTTAAAATATGCAAAGGTTTAGCAAAGCTCTAATATTGATCTGCTCCTAAAGTCTGCACATGTCTGCCAAGGATAATGTTTCATTGTTAGGCGGCAACTAAATGGGCAAATAATGCAGGAAATCAATACGTGCCACTCAACCCAGAGTTTGCACTTCCATGGCATAGCTTACACACACACACACACACCACTGCCAGGGCTTCTAATTTCTTGTCAATGACTTGATTCACATTGGTTCAGGCAATATGATCATTTGAGTTAAAGTGGAGGGAGTTGTAGCTGTTCAGCTTGAAGCTACTCCACTCGGCTACAGCAGTAGTGACTGAACCCAGACAGTGGGTTCTTTTAATCATCTCTATCCCAAACCTAGTATCTAGGTCTGCTTGTTTTAAAATTTCCTTTCAGTTCAGTTTTCCTTCTTTTTCTTTTAAAGGCTTGCTGCCCTAACAGTAGGGTAGCTAGATGAATAAAACGTTTTTTTTAAAGTGTGGGGAGTTGGCACAGAGAGAAATCACCCTTGTTTGCAGCTTGTTAAGATAGCTCTGCTCTAATCTTGCCTCCTGCAAATCTAGATGACCAGTGTAGAGCTCTGCAAACAAAGGTAAGAACTAATTTTGTCCCCTATCCTGACTCCTAACTGAAGTGAATTCACCTGGGGAAACTTGACTTCCTTCACAGTGGATCAATTTGCATTTTGCATACTGTGTACAGTAGTCGCACCCTTACATTGTTATTATATGCCATCAAGTTGATTTCGACTTATTTTATGCACTGTCAAGTCATTTCTTACATTTGGTGACCCTATAAATGAGTGACTTCCAATTAACAGTCCTGCTTGGGTCTTATGTGGTGACAGGGTTTATATTTAAGGAAACATAAGAACAGTACCATTGGGAGGATAAACTCCTTGTGGGGTCAGCCAAGGCAGAATGGTCAAAGCTGAGATACCAGAGTAAGAGGCATCCATCCTCTTCAGGACTAATATCACATCATCAGAAGAGAATGGATAGTGTGGATGGACTAGAGAAACTCCCGAAGAGCACCCACTGGGCTGTAACAGTAGTGGAGTGACACTGGCAGAGGATCTTTCATAGACAATGGCAGTGAAACCCAAGCTTATCTAATTCTTGGCAATACTGTGTAGAACATAACAATAAACTATCTCTAAATATGTACATTTGGAAACCTCTATTATGAAATTTCCTCTTTCTGATTACCCTATGATTTTATGACCTCCAGAAGGTCCTATCAATAAGCCTTTCTCAGGTCTTGCAAACGAAAGGCCATGACTTCCTTTGTTGATCTATCTCATGTTAAATCTTATTCTTTTTCTAACTGCTTCCATTTTCCCAGCATTATTGTCTTTTCCCAATAAGTCGTGGGTTTTTTTTCACACTGGGACCCTTCCGATGCTCCCCCCCCACCCCCCATGGGGCCGGCGAAATAGGCAGCTTCCAGGACCTTTTCTGAACCTTTCCCGGCTCAGAAAAGGTCCTGGTAGCTCCTGATTTTGCCCCCGCTGGCCCCGTGGGGGGTGGGGGAGCGTCGGACGGGTTCTGGAAGGCTCACTGGGACCCTTCCGATGCTCCCCCCCCACCCCCCATGGGGCCGGCGAAATAGGCAGCTTCCAGGACCTTTTCTGAACCTTTCCCGGCTCAGAAAAGGTCCTGGTAGCTCCTGATTTTGCCCCCGCTGGCCCCGTGGGGGGTGGGGGAGCGTCGGAAGGGTTCTGGAAGGCTCACTGGGACCCTTCCGATGCTCCCCCCCCACGGGGCTGGGGGGGCAAAACCACCACCTTCGTTCCATAAGACGCACAGGCTTTCTACCCTACGTTTTGGGGGAGAAAAAGTGCATCTTATAGAGCGAAAAATACGGTAATATTTCAAAACAAAGTCTCTGATTTATGAATGTGGGATATTGTGCTTCTGTACCCATGATTCAAAAAGCCAGGAAATGGCCCCATATTGTTGCACAATATCGTGGCCGCATTACCAACAGGAAAAAGGATGCCAAGCTTTACATAGCAAAAGGCAGTCTGAATGTTGACAACATCAATGTCAAAAAGTGACACCAAGCAAGAGAAAATCCCAGGAGCTGAATCCTTACTTCATCGATTAACTACTTCTCACTCAAACACAATGTAATTGTAAGGGTTGTTATTCAACAAGTGTGAATTGAGAAGAAGCTGCCTATATTAGTAACCAAACCACATGGTTTCTCATTGCAACAGACTGTATTGAAGATGCTGGCCAGAGGTTTACAACAACCTGTCAGGTAAGGCCGGACGGAAGGAGAGAGAGACTGAGGATGCAGCAGCATTAGACTCTGGCTTACTTGAATTGAAAACCAAACATTTATACTGACAGATGGTCTTTCAGAAAGCATTCATTAATGCTTTTTTCTGCAGATTGAACAAAGGTTTGTTTTATATAATGTAGACTATAGGCATAAGCCTGTTTAATACAAAATGCCATCTGGCATAACACTGCTTTATAGTTTTTGAAAGGAGAAAGTGTATCCCTTTTTAAAAAATGTAATCTATATTTAACTTGTTGTGACACAGCTTTCAAAAGAACAGGAGCAGTGTCCTCCTTTGCATTTTGCTACTTTCCTTCCCCCAAAATCACATTCGTAGTTTCATGCCTGATCGCTTGGTTGTAGAAACCCTGATTAGGGTTGTAGAAACCCTGATTTGTCAAGATTAGGCTGCTTGACAAATTACAGTTCCAGTTGAAATTATATTTTGGGAACAACACTTAATGTAACCTGAGATGATTGTCCACAGATTGGAATATCTTTTCTGTGTTTCCATCAGTTGGAACAATTACACTGGAGAAGCATAAGTTAATTACTGCTCTACATTTTTGTAAGTATTGTTCACTATGGAATTCTCTTAACCGAACAGATGTAGATGAGTCATAGAAGTCTTCCTAGTGCACACCAACAATAATTAAAGTTGAAAGTAATTGGATTTCTGCTTCTCCCAGTTAGCACAATTTATCTTTTCTTGAATTATAATAAAATGAGTGAAACTGCAAGTTTGCTTATTCATTGTTCCATCTATGAGCAGTCAAAGGGACATGCCAGCAGATTAAAAAAAACCTAAATAAATCTAACATCTTTTTATGGGACCAAGCAACCATACTGTTGTGGTGTTATAACTGTCATAGTAAAAAAAAAACATAACTTTTCCTCTCTCTGAAAATGGGTGAATTGATTCCACACAGCAGCGAGTCTGATTGGTCTTCACTAAAGATACACCAAAGGGAAACAGCAGAGGAGGAAACAATTCTCTGACTTAAGCTTTAGCCGTGTCTTATTCTTCTTGGCTAATCAGAATCCTATTGTTGATTGCATAAGATTTGTATAACTTGGTACAGCTATATGCAGCTAATCAATGGGGCACAGGGTATACTGTATCTCAATTGCACAACTGGGCCAAACACATGACTAAGATGGTCCCTGGCACTTCATCAGTTAATAATAATTGTGTGTCATCAAGTCAATGCTGATTTACAGTGACCCATTCCAGGGTGTCCCAGGTACTCAGAAGTACCTACCGGGGTTCTTTCTAAGCCATGTGTGCGACTCCATCTCTCTCCACACAGTGATTGTGTTCAACCCCTTTGAACACAATGGAACCCCGGGGGTGTGGAGTCACACACACAAGGAGCAGACCCCCACCCAGCAGGGCTGAAAATTACAGAGTACATTGGTACCTACTGTTCCCTTTTTCTAGGAGTGTACTGGGATTGTGCAGCTTGCCCAAGGCTACATAAGCTGGCTCTTCTAGGATGCACAGTGAGGAATTGAACTCCCAACCTCTGGCTCTGCAGCCAGAGACCTAACTGAGCTATCTAGCCAGCTACTTCATTAGTTAGCCATGGCAAATTACTCACATTTTACTTGAACTCCAATGGGATTTTGGCCAATGTGGCCCAGCTGCGAGAAGCTGTGAGCAGCACCCACAAGAAC